TGAAGCCCTGGAGGAGCGAGATCAAAGCAGGTGGGGAGTCACTCAGGAACACACACAGAGTGGACTGGCCACAAAGTCAGGGCTCTTGACTGCCGCTGTCTGGAGAGGCTGCTGTGCATGCACTTCACGGTTCCCCTCCCACCTCGCTCTTCATCCTGCTGGGAACTGTTTCTCTACCTGCCAGGTGCAGGTGTGGTTTCCTGGAAGTAGGTGCAGGCACAGGTGTGGGACTAAAAGTTCACTCCTGCCTCAGGACAGGTCTGCTATGTGGCAGAATCGGTGGGCAGCCAGATACCCTGGCCCTCGGAGGTACGTGTGTGCTCAGTCGTGTGCGTGCCACTTGCCAGGCTTCTTGACCGTCAAGGACACAACCTGAGTCTCACCACTCCCCTCCCCGCCATACTCCCTTTCCTTGTAAGGCAGCCAGGGAACCGCTTCCAGCTGAAGGAATTCTGATGTTCCTGTCTTCTCTGCTCACTCTGTAGCTCTCTCCTCTTTGCCCATTCCCCACCAGCCCTTCCTTGCACCTGTTACCCCTGCCAAGAGGGGCTCCAAGTCCTGCCCTAGCTCTTCCCATAGGATGGAGAATGCTAGAGCCCTTCACCCCCTTGTCCTGCCTGAAGTCCTGGCTATTGGTCCCAGCATTTGTTCAGCTCTGTTTCATCGATCAACACATATTTGGAGCATCTGTGCCAGGTGATGGGGTATGGCCTGTGGGTGACGAGGTCCAGACTGAAGGAGTTACCCCTGATAACTGTTATAGGGGCCAAGAGGCCAGTGCAGTGTCGTCTCTACTGCGGCAGAAGTAAGAGTACACAGGACTCTGAGGAAGTAGGCCAATCAGGGGAGACTTCCCAGAGGATTTCCCAAGAGAGAAGAGGCTAGGTGGTTCCTCCCACCCCAGGGCACAGCCTGTGCAGGGGCCGGAAGGGAGATAGTGGAAGTACCTTGAGGGTAAAGCTAGCAGGAGCTGGGGAGGTCAGATTTGGGGCTTTTCCCCAATCAGGAACCAGCTGGAACCACCCCGGGCATCCACCCTCAGATGTTGTCCTGCCTGCAAGGGCAGTTTTTGAAACCAGGATACACTGCCTGTGGCTTTTTTTTTTTTTTAAGATTTATTTATTTATGTTAGGCAGATTTACAGAGAGAAAGAGAAAGATCTTTTGTCTGTTGCTTCACTCCCTAAGTGGCCATAGTGGCTAGGGCTGAGCCAATCCAAGACCAGGAGCCAGAAGCTTCTTCTGAGTCTCCCATGCAGGTACAGGGTCCCAAGTCTTTGGGCCTTCCTCGTCTACTTTCCCAGGCCACAAGCAGGGAGCTGGATGGAAAGTGGGGCAGCCGGGACACGAACCAGTACTCATATAGGATCCCTGCGTGTGCAAGGTCAGGATTTAGCCACTGATCCATTGTGCTAGGTCCTGCCTGTGGCTATTGCAGACCCAGGATCTAGACTGCCTTTCTTTCCAAATTTCTCCCCGCCCATCTCCTCTGGACCTCTCTGCAGGGATGTTGCTTCCTTACTTAATCTGCTTCAACCAGGCCTAAACCAGGAGGAAGTTCTGCTTCAAGGTGCCCAGGAAGACAGGCACCCCTTTGTCAAGCCCCAGCTCCTGTTCAGTGGAGTGTGCAGGAGGCTATCTCAGGCACGGCATGTGCATCTCACTGCATGTCCACAGCAGTCTGGGAGGCAGGTGTTCCCATTCTTCATCGTATGAAGGAAGAAAAGGAAGCTCGGAGGGCTTGTCACTTGGCCAAGGTCACTTGGCCTGAAACTTAAGTCCTTAAGTACTTGAGCATAGGGCAGACATGGTGGCTCAGTGAACTAAGCTGCCACCAGGCAACCCACATCCCATATCAGAGTGCCTGGTTTGAGCCCGGGCTGCTCTGAATTTCTCTCTCTGTCTCTCTCTCTCTCTTTTAAAATATTTATTTATTTTAAAAGCACAGTTACAAAGAGAGAGGGTGGCAGAGTGAGAGGTGTTTCGTCTGCTGCTTTACTCAGCAAATGGCCACAGCAGCTGGAAATGGGCTGGTTAGAAGACAGGAGTTTCTTCTGGGCTTCCCACACAGGCACAGGGATCCAAACACGTCCCAGGTGCATTAGCAGCCAACTAATCAGAAGTAGATCAGCCAGGACAGAAACCAACCCTCCTGCGGGATGCTGACAGTACAGGTAGTGGTTTTATGCGCTATGCCGTAACACCAGCCCCTGCTCCAGTTTTCTGATCCAGCTTTCTGCTAGTGTACCTGGGAGGCATTAGATGATGTTCCAAATACTTAGGTCCCTGCCACGCATGTGGGAGACCATGATGGGGTTTCTGGCTCCTGACTTTGGCCTGGCCTAGCTCTAAATGTTGTAGGGGAGATCTATATCTCCCCTGACCCCTTCTCATTCCCCCGACCCCGTTAATTTGTCCTTCAGTTAAATAAATGTATATATTTTTTAAAAAGTCGTTATGCATAAAGGGATCTTTGCAGGCCTTGGTCCAGGCTTGTCACTATGTGAAAGCCCATCATCTCCTGACCCTGACTGCCTGTGCGTGTGTCCCCTCTCCAGCCTGCTGCAGGGTCAGTGCCCTCGCACTTGGAGTGGACAGGGAGCCAGCTGCTCACCTCACCCTGGAGGCTTCACCAGGACGCCAGTGTGTCCAGGCTTCCTGCGACGCCATGGACAGAAATTCCATCTCTGAGCCAAGGCTCACAGGCCGCTCCACTCTCAAGCCCTTGACTTGGGCTCCAGGGGCCATGGGAAGGAGAAACGTGAGTGTGGCGCGTTTGCAGCATGTAGCTGTACTGGAGAAATGCGCCAAGGATATGAATAAATTTGAATAATAATGAGGGCAATGCTTGAATTAATAATACCGGCTGCTCACCTGACCCGCTCCTTCCCCAGGATCTCAGCACTGTGTCACCATCATCCCTCCAAACATGGATGAGCCTTACATTTCCCTTCTTGAGAGAATGGAAGTCAGGATGGCAGAGTTGGGGGACCACTCATGGAGGATGGGCCCTCTTTCTAAATTCCTGGCTCCTTCAGACCCAAAGAGCTGAGTTGGCACAGTTGGCAGCATGTGTTCTGACCATTGATCGATCTACTCCTGGCCCCTGCTGCCTCTTCTTTTTTTTTTTTTTTTAAGATGCATTTGAAAGGCAGAGTTATAGGAAGTTCTTCCATCTGCTGGTTCACTCCCCAAATGTCCACAACATACAGGGCTGGGTCAGGCCAGGCCAAAGCCAGGAGCTTCTAGGTCTCCCACATGGGTGCAGGGCTCCAAGCACTTGGGCCAGCCTCTGCTGCTTTCCCAGCCCATAGGCAGGGAGCTGAGTCAGAAGTGGAATAACCAAGACTGGAACCTGCGACTATATGGGCTGCTGACCTCAAAGGCAGCGGCTTTACTCACCATGCCATGGAGCTGGCCCCTTTGCTGCCTCTTTCTCAATCCCCTTTGTGTGCAGCAACCAGCATGGATGAATGTCAAAGTCTCTACAGAAATCCAGCTGGAGACAAGGTTCTCATTCATCTTGAATGGACAGAGCAATACCTCTGCCTGCTGTGCCCCAATGCTGCCCTCCACTTCCTAACAAGGGAAAACTGGGTGTAAACCCTCTTGGCTGGAGCTGTGGAAGCAGAGCTGAGAGATGGGAGAGAACTGCACTTGCCCACTGGACCAAGGAGTTCATCTAGAAGGGCTTCTGGGAAGAGGGGGGGAATGTGGCAGGTTGGAGAAGAAATGAGGCCAAAGGAAAACAAAGAAGGGAAGCCATGCAACTGGGACCTGGCCTCTGCCGGGTTAAAGGGAGGTCTTGAAATGGGAAGGGTTGAGTTATGCTGCCTAACACATGGATGATGGCGGGGTGACAAGCTGGGTTTGGAAAGGGCTCTGCCAGGTCTGAGGAGTAGGGCCCCTGAGTCCTGATCTTGGGGGCAGGGTTTGGTTACCTTGTTGTGATGGATGGAGGGCCCCTTCCTTCCCCGAGCCGAGCCGTGTCCTCCCTCTCCTCGCTTTTCCCCAGTTTGCCCCACCATTGGGGCCAACCAGCAACAGTGGGAGTGGGTGGGTGGGAGCAGGGGGGAGAGGTGGGGAGAAGCTGCAATCCAATTCCCTGCTCCATTTAGGCTCCACAATTAAAGGCAATTACTCTGCAGTTCTCTAATCAAATGCTCCCGGGCCGAGCTGCCAGCCGGGCAGCCATGTGTAGCTCACAGCCGGGGGGTGGCGGGGGGGAAAGAGTGGGACAAAGTCACACGGCCTCTCAACTCCCACCGTGTGCAGGTGTGTCGATGTGTGCACACTCATGGGCTTGGCGGCAAGGGCCGGTGTACCAGGACATTGGTTCAGAGCGCTTCTGTACAGGATACGCTCCCCACCCTGGCAGCTTCTGTGGGCACTGTTGTCTGCCCCCACAGACTCCGTCAGCCCTCCCACACCTTCCGGATGCTCCGGAGGGTATTATGCATGCAGGTGCACACTTACGTTGCCTGGTGTTGGCTCAAGTGACACATGTCATGGTGCTTTCACATGTGTGGGTCTGAGTTCTGAGCAGCGTCCCCAGTGGCCACTGTTAAAAATGCATCGTCTGTTAGCCTGGGTGTGGGGTGAGGCAGCGTGGGTGTGAGTGGGACAGCAGCATGGCACGCGCTCTAACCCCAGCCCTGTCCTGGAAGTTCCCGTCGTTTTGGCCCTGGATCCTCCTGTTTTCCTTTGTGAAGTGAGAGCCTTGGATTGGCCCCATCTCTAAGCCTTTACATAACACTGCACCACTTGCCCTGACTGCGGCTCTGCACTTCAGCTGCTAGAGCCCATTCCCCAGGGCCGTGGAGAAAGCAATATGCAAAGGGTTTAGAGGACCGGGGTCAGGGCTGAAGTGGGGGCAGAGGCTGTCTCCTTCCTGCCCCTTGCAGGCTGCAGTGGGGTGAACCTGGGAGAGAGTAGGGTAGCCTCTTCGTGGAGCCCCCTCTCTTCACTCATCTGACATAGTGCCGGCTTTGACTTTGCCAGGGACCCAGACCCGCTTCAGCCAGGAGCCAGCCGACCAGACCGTGGTGGCCGGGCAGCGTGCCGTGCTGCCGTGTGTGCTGCTCAACTACTCCGGCATCGTGCAATGGACCAAGGACGGACTGGCCCTGGGCATGGGCCAGGGCCTCAAAGGTGAGTTGCAGCTGTCCGGCCAGCCTAGCATGCCAGCTGTTGGATCGTCGCCCCCCCCCGCCCCCCGCAGGGCGCCCCCGCCATTCCCCATCTGAGCATGGACTCCTGGATCAGCACCCCTAAGCTTTCTCACTACCTTCCTCCTCCTCTCCCTTTCCTGCTAAGCCCTCCTCTGCTTTCCTGCCTCACAGCTGCAACAGGGGACAGAACCCAGAACCTAGAGAGGAAAAGGAAACCAAGAAAGCTTTACAAAGAGAGCTCCAGGCAGGCGCCAACAGGGTTGTGCAGGCAGACAGAGGTCAAGCAGGAGGCACTGGGAGCCTCCAGGGCCCTGCAGGTGTCGGGGAGGGAACTTTTCATGTCCTGCAAGTGGCCCTCTGACAGCCTGGGCTGCAGCCTCTGTCCTCCCCTTTCCCTGGCAGCATCTGCTCAGAGGCCGGCAGCTCATTGATATCGGCCTGAGCACTCATTTGTTTATTTGTTCATTTAATAAGCATTTACTTAGCATTGACTGTGTAGCTGGTACTGAAGAAAACCTAATAATTCAAAGGCAGAAAACAAACCAGCCTCCTTAAGCAAGCGCAGAGACCTTGGAAAGGCTCCAGCTGAGTGGGCAGGGAGTCGGGACACCTGGATTCCAGCCCTGCCTCTGACACCTGCCAGCTGGGTAGCTTTAGGAAAGCCATTTGTCATCTCTGAACCTCAGTTTGCCGACTGGTGAATGGGCCCGTCTGCCTCAGCTGCCCCCTTGGGAGTCTTGAATCCTGGGAGAGAACCCAGTGCGGTGGTAGAAGCGAGGAGGAATGGGGGGCTTCACCATTTGAGTCCTGCTGTGGAGGGGACTGAGGTTATTTGCTGTGGGCCCCACATGTTTGCGCAGGTAATGGAGTTGTGTGTGGAGCCCTCTGTGTGAAGGAAAGAGATGGGTCTGGTAGAGCTATTGATGAGAGAGAGGTCGATAGATATGGAGTGAGAACAATCAATAGCCTCTGGACACAAGGAGACAATGGGAGGGAGCTGGTGCTGGGGACTGGGGACGGGGAGTGGGAGGAGGAAGGTGAGAGCCAGCGGCACCCCACCAGGGGGCTGCCAGGACCCTCCCTCCCGTGTGAGTGGGGGTGAGACCTCAGCCTGCCTCTGCCCACGAAGGTGCCCCCAAATGAGCTCATGTCTGTGCTGCAATGCCCTAATTTCCTCGCGCCTACACTCTCCCCCTCTCTTTTCCTCCCTGCTGTCTGCCTTTTTTTTCTCCCTCCTTTCTCTCCTATCATTATGAAAGACATTTGTCTGCAAACAGCTTCAGAAATTTTGTCCGCTCCTGCTCATCTCCCGGCTTCTGCTCGCCCCACTGTCTGCCCCTCCTGCGCCCACACTCCCTTCTCGCTGTGGTGGTGGCGGGGGGAGCCGTGGGAGGAGTGCCGTGACATCACAGTCTGGGATCTCACTACCTCAGGTGCCCATGCTGTGCCAGGAGAGGGTAGAGGGTGGAGTGCTGGCCCGGCCGGGGCGGGGCAGCCCTCCTCTCCCTCACCTCTTCCGACCTGAGGATGAAAGGTGGGGGGGCCAGGTAGTCCCTAAGCCTCACCCTGGGTCTCCCCCTTTTCTGTCCCTGCAGCCTGGCCGCGGTACCGGGTCGTGGGCTCTGCCGACTCGGGGCAGTACAACCTGGAGATCGCAGACGCCGAGCTGTCTGACGACGCTGCCTACGAGTGCCAGGCCACGGAGGCCGCCCTGCGCTCCCGGAGGGCCAAGCTCACCGTGCTCAGTAATGATTCCACACCCCTCGTGCCCCCAGTCTCTCCCCATGCCCCACTGTGCCCGTTCTCGCCCAGGCCTTCCCTCTCCATCTCCTGCTTTAAGTTCCTCCGAAGTGCACATAGAAGAGAGTGGGCAGAGGGTGCAGGCACTCACACCAGCGGGACACAGCCTCTCTCTCCCCCAGCTCCTTGGCAGACAGGCTCACTGGGAAGGCAGCTTCCTTCTCTCTCTCACCAACTCCTCGCTCCTCTCCTTCTTGCACCACCTCCCAGTCCTTCCTCCCCCATCAGTGCCCACCCCCTCTCTCTGGGAACCCCCTTGGGGAGCAGGGGAGCAGGGCTGGAAGGGCTGAGCATGGGATCGGGTGGGGAGGGCTCCCGTGGCTGCCGTGGGAGGGCCTATCTCCTGGAAGTCAAACGCCTGGCAGCAGTGCACAGGCAGGCAGAGCAGATGTCCGTCTATGGTAACCCCGGGGCCATTTGCATAATGAGGGCCGGCCCCTCGCTCACAGCACCCGAATGAGGCCAGCTCTGGCTGGCCCCTCGCTCCTCAGTCTTTCTGCCCCCGTCCGGCTCTGTTGTGTCACTCGCTGTGTGCCCCCTGCCTCTCTGGCGCTTTCAATATCTCTGGCTGTACTCTTCTGCCCGTGGTGGCCCTCTGCCCACCCTGCCATCACCAACCCCGCCCCTATCTGCCTTCCTGCCCCCGCCCACTTCTGGCCGAAAGCACTGCTTTGAGGGAAGATCCCAGGGAGGAAGGAGTTGGAAGCCAGCAAAGGTTTGGCGTGGGGGGAGGGCAGTGAGAATGTGAGTGCAGCACGAAGAGCCTTCATCTGCTGGGCCCCTGACACACCTCAGCCTTGTGTACACCATGACCACAAGGGGCATCCCATCCCGTCTGCGGGATCAGCTTGCATAGTGTGGTGCCACCTGCTGCCCCACCACTCGCTGTAGTGGGTGCTGCCAAGTGCAGGGGTACACACTGGTGCCTGGCGTCACAGCAGGTGAGGCTGGGAGCACTGGACTGCCCGTTTCTTTGGCTGTGAAGGCCCTTCAGTACTAGGACTGGTGGATGCCTCGTTTCCCCTTCTCTAGGACTCAAGAGGGAGGACTCAGCCAGGAGCAGGAGCAGGATTCCAGAGCAAGACTAGTCCACACCCTCCGTGGAGTATGGAGTGTCATTCTGTACCGGGTGGGGAAGGAGGACATGTAGAAGACCTTCCCTCCCCCTTCCTCCATTGCTCATGCCCTGGAGAGCTGCCATCCTCACCAGGGGCCCTTTGCTGTCACATCTCAGCACAAGAAGGAGAGACGGAGCAAAATTCAACACAGCTCCCACGTGCTGCAGGATAAAGCCTTAAAGTGGCATCTTCCAGTGGCTTGGCTTAATCCAGGAAAGATTCCTGGAGGAGGAGAATGTCCTGGGAGAGTGCTTTATTAAAACTCCTGCAAGCTCAGTGAATCAGAGCTCTACAAGCCGGAGACCAGCTGTGGGGCTGAGGATGGGGACCCTCCCTAACCCAGTGGGGTCATTTGAGAACGCGAGAGGAAAGGAGAGACAGGAATGGTTAGTTGGCCTGGCCCTTCTGCCACTCCTCTTGTTTACATTCTGCACCTGCAGCCACACTCAGGCAGGAGGAATCACAGCCGCCCTAGACCCTCTCCTGCCTGCCTGCCCACGCAGTCTGGACACAGTCCACTTTGGCTGGACACAGTCTGGGGACCCAGAGATGAAGCAGTGCAGAAACGAGGAGTGGGCTGACCTAACGTCTGGGATCAGCCTTCCCACCCATCACCAGCGCCCACACATGCCCTTCTTCCCCTACCATGCCCGGTTATGGTCCCTCTAGCTCCCTGGGGTTGGCTCTTTTCAGAACAGTCTCCTTTGGTGCTGAGCTTTGAGATGAGGCCCCTACCCCCTTGGTCTGGTCCCTGCAGACAGAGTGCAAGGCGCCCTCATCATTCACTGCGATAACAACACGGCTGTAGCTAAAATGAGCACGGCTTCCGGTCAGGCTGGCTGGTTCATGGCCCAACTCTGCCATTTCACTCACCCTCAGGTCTCCAAGCTTGTGGGCGTCACCTCCCGAACCTGGGCTCCTTATCTGTAAATTGGGGTTAATGATATTTACCGTGAAAGGATTAATGAGATGCACTTTGTGGTGAGGATTAAATGAAATCATAGACATGAGCCCTCGAGCTGAGCGGTGCTGGCCGGCCCCGAGTGAACATGGAAGTGGCTGCCTCTCACATTACAGTGTGCTGCAGGCTTCAAGGCCCAGAGCTCCTGTTACCTCCACAGTGACACCTGGGTGGGGGTGGGGAGGAACAGGTGTCGCTTGGAGACTTAACAAGGAAACTGAGGCCACGTGGTCACCCAGGTGTAAGTCATGGCTCCTAACAGCTCGTCCATGAGTGCATGGACTCCCAGTGGGTGCTCTCCCTGCAGGGTGAACAGACACCAGCAGCAACCTCACTTCCCTTTACCCCCCTCCACCACCACACCCTGTGCTGATGGCGTCGATGGCCGAGAAATCCTTGAGAAAGATGGGTTAGTGGCACAGGTGACAGGTGGATGCTCTTTGTCTCAACAAAACAGAAGAAACATAAGAAGAATAAGGAGGGAACACCCCTTCCCTTCCCCCAGGGGGGTCTCCACACACCTGGGCACCTGGGTGTGGGTGGTATCTCTGCTTGTGCAAATTTAGCACTCTTCTCCCCAGGCCCCCACTCTCAGGCGTGGCAGCAGCGTGTGGCCTTGCAGGGGCCAGGCTGAGCCACACTCACAGACCTTGAGCCGCAGCCCTGTAACCTCTCCTGTCCACCTGTTCTTCCTGTCCCCACCCCCAGACCTGCACTCATGTGGCCTCGGAACACATTACAGCAAGGAGTGAGGAGAAGGCGCCAGGTCAGAGGATGGGTAACCTGCCATAAGTCAGTGCAGCTGTTGGCTGTGTCTGGGCCCTGACCCTCACCTGTCTGGGCCATGACCCTCACCCGTGCCCACGCCACAGACCCTGCACCTCACAGCCTAGGTTTTGCCTCTGATGAAGGGGGAAAAACAACTTGAGATTTGATGGCTTTATGATAGGGACTTACCCAAGATCCCTGGGAAGGCCAACATAAAGGTATCAGAATTTGAAACCAGGACAGTCAGACCCTGCATGGGTCATTCTACAGACCCCCCCCCCCCAACATGGGGAGAAATGGACCAGGACAGCCAGACCCTACGTGGGTCATTCTGCAGGATCACCCCCACACACACCAACATGGGGAGGCGGGGGAATAGACGGCAGGGCCAGGGCACCCACCAGGGATGTCTTAACCCTGGAAGCCCAAAGGCCCAGGCCCTTGTCTCCTAAACTCCCGGGACAGGCCTGTTCACCTCCAGGGAGCTCCTGCTGTTCGGTCTCAAGGGTTCACTCTAGAAAACTTCAGAGTTTTTCTTGTCTTTCCCGGAAAGGAGCATGCAAAACCATTTCTGGTTTCTGGCTGAAGAGGGAGCTGGTCAGAAAGATGATGATCAGGGACCCTTTGTTTTTGTCCCTTCCATCATCTACTCATCCATCCAGCAGACAGCCCTGCTGTCAGCACAGCTCTGCCTGTGACATTGGGGTTGGAGATAAGCAGCCTCTATCAGGGAACTTCCCATCTGGCTCACCTGCCCCGTCCCCAACCTCATCCTCATCTCCTGCTTGTTAGCATCAGTCATCAGTTCCCAAGCGTTGAGCAGGGGCCCACATTGGCCACACTGAGGGCTCTGGAGAGCATCCAGAGTAAGACAGGGGTCTGGGAAGGGAAGCAGTTTGGGTTGGGAGAGGGCCAGATGATCAGTGGATCCCAGGGGGATGGTGCGAAGAGTGACCTACGTGGTGGAGTGGGGTGGAGGCATAGAACACCCTGTGTCCCTCACTCTTGGGCCGCTGGGTGACACTCTGTTAGAAGCTGTGAGGGCAGGACGCGTGGAAGCAGTAGCATTAACAAGGATGATGAGGTGAGAAATTGCAGGGGGTTAGCTCAGGGACACGGGAACAAACAGCAGGCTGAGGCACTTGGAACTCACGCAGTTGTAGCCATTGAAGGCGTCAGAACAAGGGAGTGGCCCAGTCCCGTCTGAGCTACAGGAAAATGCTGGCCTTGCCCCAGGGGGTGGCTGTAACAGGCCTACCCTGTCCGGCTGCCCGGGTGCAGAGGGACAAACAAGAAAGGAAGGGCACAAGCCACGTGTGGAATGGCTGCCTTGTGGTGAACACAAGCCCCAAGGCAGCCCGCAACCCCATCCAGTTGGGAGTGCTAGCACCTGGGATGAACTAGGAGAGGAAGGCGTGAACTTCCAGGGTGGGGAGTGGGGGTGATGGCTGGGAATCCCTGATGTGAGCCGAGAATCATGGGTGAAGCTGCCACCCGAGGAGCAGGGCTGGGGCAACTGCAGTCAGGGACAGTGTCAGCCACTGCCCCCTCCACCGACACTGGGCTGACTCACCCCGCTATCCGCTGTCCCTACAGTCCCGCCGGAGGACACCAGGATTGACGGAGGCCCTGTGATCCTGCTGCAGGCAGGCACTCCCCACAACCTCACGTGCCGTGCCTTCAACGCCAAGCCTGCCGCCACCATCATCTGGTTCCGGGACGGGACGCAGCAGGAAGGCGCTGTGGCCAGCACGGTAAGACTTGGCTTGCTCCCCCTGCCCTTCTCGGGCCCAGCCTGCCCTCATCTTTCCTTCTCCAGGTGTCCGCCCATGGACACAGACGCGAGGAAGGGCTGTGGAATGTCTCAGGATACACTTGGGAAATCCGGGGCTCCGAGTCAGGATGTGGATTCCTGAGTTCGCTGCCTAAGTCTCCCTAAGCAGAGGCTTAGGCAGCGAGGGTCATTCTACCAGGCGCTGAATGCCAGGCACTGTGTATGCCCAGCACTTCATGCACAGACTCCCTCCATCCTCACTGGAGCCCCATCAAGTAGGTATGGACCGGAGGGAGCCGGCGGTCACCGGCGGTCACCTCACTGGAAGGCAGCAGAGCTGGGATTCATACTGTTCCCCACAGTTCGCTTTGTTAACACCTTGTCCCAGACACCACGACCAAGGGGTAGGAGAAGCAGGGTCTCTGACCGTGCACGTTTCAGAGAGGCAGAAACCATGGCAGAGAAAGATGTCGGGTGCTTCATCCAGGGCCACGCACCAGAGAATCAGAATCTACATCCGCTGTTCAGGGTCCCTTCTGCCAGCTGGGGGCAGGTGCACCTGTGTGCCCCAGTCATCTACTTCAAGTGCTGGAGGAGAGGCTGCTCTCCCGCGTGGTGAGGAGGGCCTCCTGCGTGCCTGTGGACTCTGGCCTCGGCATCACCGTTGGACAAACAGTGATGTGGCCTCAGTGGTGCTCAGCCTCTTCCCTCTTCCCTGGCTGCATCTTTGGAAACATCCCGACTTCTTGGCTGCATCCCTACACATGGGTTTCTTAATGGCCACTTCCCACCCACCCCATTTTTCATGTCCTTAGAGATGGTGGGTTTGCAGAGCAGTGTAGGGGAGCCAGGATGCATGCATGGCAGTGAAGCTCCAGCCTGCCTTAGAGTCACAGTATATTTCTCATGGGTGCTTTGTGATAACAAGAAACAACACGCAGGTTCCTGGGACCACATTCAGGGACTCTAGGGATGGGCAACACCACGCCAGCAAGACGGGGAGACTTTTGAACCCCTTCATCACCCCCCAAGGAATGTGCAAGTTAGTACAGAAACCCCTGGTGGCTACCACTGTGGTGTAGTGGGTGAGGCTACTGTCTGCAGTGCCAGCATCCTGTATGGGCACTGGTTTTTGTCCTGGCTGCACCACTTTTTAAAGAAAAAAAATTTTTTTTAATTGGAAAGTCAGATTTATAGAGAGAAGGAGAGACGAGAGGAAGATCTTCCATCTACTGGTTTGCTCCCCAGATGGCAGCAATGGCTAGGGCTGGGCCAAGCAGAAGCCAGGAGCTTCTTCTGGATCTCCCACACGGGTACAAAGTCCCAAGGCTTTAAGCCATCTTCTCCTGTTTTCCCAGGCCACAAGCAGGGAGCTGGATGGGAAGTGGAGCAGCTGGGATGTGAACCAGTGCCCACACGGCATCCTGGCACACGCAAGGCGAGAATTTTAGCCACTAGGCTACTGCGCCGGGCCAAGGCTGTCCCACTTCAGCTCAAAGTGGTTCTGCATCCCAAGCTCCACTCCGAGAGGGCGCCCCTTGGCAGCAGAGGAGGGGCTTCTGGCCTGACCTTGTCTGCCCGCCTCGCCCCTCCCCAGGAGCTGCTCAAGGATGGGAAGCGGGAGACAACCGTCAGCCAGCTGCTCATTAACCCCACGGACCTGGACATCGGGCGCGTCTTCACGTGCCGCAGCGTGAACGAGGCCATCCCAAGCGGCAAGGAGACGTCCATTGAGCTCGACGTGCACCGTGAGTGGGGGCCAGGGAGCAGCCTGGGGCAGGGCGGTGCGGAGGGGAGGGACGTGGCCTCCCGGGGAGCACAGGGCGGCACCGCAGACCCTGAGGGCATCGACTGTGGAGTCGGGCTGTCCCTGGTTCTAGGCCAGTGTGTTCTTTGGGGCAATGGTTTAACTTCTCTCAGCCTCAGTTTCCAGTTCTATATACTTGGCAGAAAGTAAAATGAGGACCTGTAATCCCTGACCCATAGTTCCAAATGAAAAGTGATTTGGGAACCAGACACTGTGGCTCCGGAGGACCAGCCGGCTCTGGGAAGCTGCCCGCCCGTCCTGCAGTGCCCGAGCTCAAGTGCCCGCCTTCTCTTCCGGTGCAGCTTCCCGCTAATGTGATTCAAGCCTTTTTTTTTTTTTTAAATTTTGTCAATCTTTACAAAGTTAATTTGGGCAAAAAGGGTCAGGGGCTACAGGAAAGTGGGTAAGACTATTATTTCCACATTGTTTCCTTCATACATCTGAGGTACAGGGGGATATTGAGGGAGAAGCCCCACCCGGTTTCCCACCCACCCCAAGTCCCGCAAGTGGGGCATGCTCCGAGATGCTCATTGAAGTGGTTTCAATAGGTCACCAGTTTTGAAATTGCTGCCAATCTTGCCTCTCCAAACACGATGAGGTTGTTGAAAAATCCATTAATTGACATTGTCCATCATAGCGTCTCTATTTGCCTGGTATTTTGTTGCCAACCTATAGCTGAGGTGGTTGATTAACTTGTTCCATCTTCTGTCCCTTCATGGTTAGGGTTCTGTCTGGCATTTCAATTGGGGAGATCACCAAAGAAACTTCGTCTGAGGTGTTCCCAGGCCAGATACTTGTATGCACCAGCAAGCACAGGGCCCAGCACAGTCCATCACCCAGTCAGCTGGTTGTTGCAATTGCTGGGTTGGTTCTGAAGCCTTTTATTAAGGAAAAGGTTTTAATTTGTTTTACTTGAAAGTCAGAGTGACAGAGAGAGAGACAAAAAGATCTTCCTGCTGGTTCACTGTCCAGCTGGCCCCAACAACCAGAACTGAATGAGTTTAAACTGGGAGTTCCCATGTAGGTGCAGGGGCCTAAGGCTTTCAGCCCTCCTCCACACTTAGGGGATTGGATTGGAAGTGGAGAACCTGGGATTTGAACCAGTGCCCATGTGGGATCCTGGTGCCACAGTCAGAGGATTAGCTGGCTATGTCACCACACCAACCCCAGTAAATCTTGAAAAAAAATAATAAATTGGTGATTTGGTGACCAAGACTGAGCTGAGACTGTCCCTGGTCATTTGGTGGCTGTGTATCGCTGCAGCTGTATTCAAGCATGTGATTATGGGGTGTTCCCCAGATACTGCCGCGGGCCTTACGTAGTTCATGGCCTTTTGCATATACAGAAAAATTCCAAATTCTGTAACATGTCCAATTCCAAGGATTGAAAGTTAGATACTGTGGACCTGTCCTGCTTCCGGAGGCTGTGAGCATGAAATAAGTCATAGTGCAGAGCATCCAGCACCCACTGTGCCATCCTTGTAAGGGCTCAACAGATACCCCTGCCCAGGGAGACCCACCAGGTGGTGTTGCAATGGAGAGCCAAGTGAGCCCGCACTGACGCCTAGTGGCCACCAGCAGTCATTACATTAGCTGACTTCTATGTTCCCTTTACCATCCTCTATGATCACCCCTGCCGGTCCCCTAGAGGCTTCATGTGGGAAAAGGTGAGAAAGAGAGCTTGCTTCTGGAGCTGCACACTCAGATCCCTCCCTCAGTGCTGAGCGTTGAGGTCTCAGTGTATGCGCCGGGGATCCTGACTTGCTGTGACCTGCATTACAGATCCTCCTACCGTGACCCTGTCCATCGAGCCACAGACAGTGCAGGAGGGCGAGCGCGTCGTCTTCACGTGCCAGGCTACTGCCAACCCCGAGATCCTGGGCTACAGGTGAAGGGGTCGGGCGGGAGTGCTCTAGGGAGGCCGGGAGGATGGTGGATGTCTGCAGGAAGGGTGACAGCAGCAGGAGGCCGGGTCAGAGCCCTGATCCCAGCTGTCTGTTGCCTCCTCCCCAGGTGGGCCAAGGGGGGCTTCCTAATTGAGGACGCCCATGAGAGTCGCTATGAGACCAATGTGGATTACTCCTTCTTTACGGAGCCTGTGTCCTGCGAGGTCCACAACAAAGTGGGGAGCACCAACGTCAGCACTTTAGTGAACGTCCACTGTGAGTGGTTAGATGGCCGGGCCTGGAGGGGGAGGAGGGAAGATGGGGTGGGGAGGGCCCCAGAGCAGGAGGGTTAGAGCCATGATGGCCGAGGACCCTCACGAGCTGCCCCTGTCTGCCTCAGTTGCCCCCCGCATCGTAGTGGACCCCAAGCCTACGACCACAGACATTGGATCTGATGTGACCCTCACCTGTGTCTGGGTTGGGAATCCCCCTCTCACCCTCACCTGGACCAAGAAGGACTCCAACATGGTAAGACTTGCCTTGTCTTTTCCTGATGGAAGGCAGGGGTGTGGGCTGCGGTGGGGTGTGGGCTGCGGTGGGGTGTGGGCTGCGGTGGGGTGTGGGCTGCGCTGGGGTGTGGGCTGCGCTGGGGTGTGGGCTGCGGTGGGGTGTGGGCTGCGGTGGGGTGTGGGCTGCGGTGGGGTGTGGGCTGCGGTGGGGTGTGGGCTGCGGTGGGGTGTGGGCTGTGGTGGGGTGTGGGCTGCGCTGGGGTGTGGGCTGCGGTGGGGTGTGGGCTGTGGTGGGGTGTGGGCTGCGGTGGGGTGTGGGTGTGGAAGAGGAATCTTTGTAGCATCTTAAGATTGGGAGGAAAAGGATAGTACTTGTGGTTGGCCCCCACCTCATGTCACAGGACAGCTCCGGTCCAGCTGGGGGAGGGGCGGGCAGGACGTGGTCGGGGCAGCCGCGGGATGGAGGGGAGAGGGTCTCCAGATAGAGCTGCTGCCGTGGTGAGAGATGGGACAAGTGGATGCCACACAGGAGAGTCGAGAAGGGGGTGGGATTGGCTCAAGAAGCTTGGAGCTGTAGCTTTCACGCTTAGAGGGTTTGGTTTGGAATCCCAGGAAGAAATTTTAGAGGAGGGTGTCCCACCCCTTTGGGCAATGAAAACAGGACAGGCCATGTCCTCTTGAAAGTATTACAGCCTTCACTTGCCGTCTCTGCCCCTGCCTCCTGCCCCATCCCCTCCCACTCTTGTAGCTGTATAAGTGCCAGACTGTTTAGTAGAGCTGGGGAGGGACCGAACGGGCTCAGGAACCCTGTTTCTGGGAATTCACTTGTGGCCCTTCCTGCTTTCTTTCCAATGCCTCCAACGCGGGGGCCCTCCTGGACCTAGGGGCCCAGGCCTCCTGGCTCCCCACCCGAGGCTGCTCTCTCTGCCCAGGTCCTGAGTAACAGTAACCAGCTGCTGCTGAAGTCTGTGACCCAGGCTGATGCGGGCACCTACACCTGCCGGGCCATCGTGCCTCGCATCGGGGTGGCTGAGCGGGAGGTGCCGCTGTATGTGAACGGTGAGTGGTCTGGGAGGGCGCTGGGTCCCGGGCGGGCAGCGCAGCAGGCTGTGACCGACCCCACGGGTCTTGTCGCTCACAGGTCCCCCCATCATCTCCAGCGAGGCCGTGCAGTACGCTGTTAGGGGTGATGGTGGCAAAGTGGAGTGTTTCATCGGGAGCACCCCACCCCCAGACCGCATCGTGAGTGTCGGCCCTTCCTCCCCCGCTGCCCATCTTGCTCTCTGGCCCAGCCACCTTCCTGCCCTCTCGCTTTGCATCTCTGACTTCTGCATCCCTCCGCTGCACTTGCTGCTCCTCCTCTGCCTCTCTGCCCTCTATGCCTTTACCTGCTCACACAGCCCATCTTCCCTCTCGCATCCCACGTGGCCTGCAGCAGGTGACTTGGAGTTTTGAACTTCAGTCTCCGCTTCTGTAAAACAGAGGCCACACCCCTTGGCCAACCCCCAGGCTTGCTGAGAAGTGTTCGCAGCAACAGGTGTGGCACCTGCTAAGGGCGTGCAGTCACTTCTGGCCAGCACTCTTGCTGTTTCTGCTCCCCGGCCATTCCTTTGTCTCCTGATTGCTCTGCTGTGCTCCTCTCCTCCTATTCGCCCCTCTCCCTCTACCCGCCATCCAGTTCTGGCTTCCCACCTCGTCCCACTCTTTCCTCCTTCTTGCTCCTGGCCCCCTCGCCACCTCCTCGCTTCTTTCTCCTCTCCCCCACGCTATGAGCCATTAATTCCTTCTGTGACCATTAACCGTCAAACCCCTCATCACATTTAATGACCATTTGGCTAACTCCAGGGCTGCCCAGGGACACTTCATTACCACGGCCGCCTGGGCTGCGGGCAGCTGGGCTCCTGGGAGGCTCTGCTTCGCCGAGCGGGAGGAACGATTCCTGGAAAGGAGCCAGCTCTCAGCTGCTCCCCTCCCGTGGGCTCCACTTTGAGGGGAACACACGTGGGAGATCAGGGATTGGCGGGGAGTGGTCCAGGGAACTCTTCTGGGGAACCTGGGTCAGCCAGGCAGGTGCCTGTGGGCGGGTTAAAACGCACGGCTGAGTGTTGTGGCTTGTGCTCCGTTTGAATCATAGACCATCCAAGCTGTAAGAATCCTCGAACACCATCCAGCACTGGCCTAGTTCTCCCATTTTACAGATGAGAAAACTGAGACTTACAGAAGTAGACATTCCCACCCCCCAACCTCCCACGACACACACACACACAGGGACTTGGCGGGAAAGAGCCAAAAGTTTCCAAATGTTGGCTGGTTGGACCAACTAGACCCACAGCACACTGGGTCTTTACAAAGACCGTGAGTCCTGGACCCCTTTTTGGAGGTTCCCGTTAAGGATGTGCTCCCCAGAATCTCCCTCCGAGGTGCAGTGTTAGCCGTGTTGGGGAGCCACTGCTTCTCCGGCTGAGCGTTTGGGGCTGTGGGTGAACAGGTTCCTTCCAGGGCAAACCTGAGGCCACACTCAAGCACACAGGGGAGTAAGTGAGGGGACCTTGGGGGAAGCTCTGGTGACACTTTAGGCAGATGCTGCTGCCACCGGCCGCTCCTCCACTCCTTTCTGCCCTCCACACTGCAGGCTTGGGCGTGGAAGGAGAACTTCCTGGAGGTGGGGACCCTGGAGCGCTATACGGTGGAAAGAACCAACTCGGGCAGCGGCGTGCTGTCCACACTCACCATCAACAACGTCATGGAGGCCGACTTCCAGACACATTACAACTGCACTGCCTGGAACAGCTTCGGGCCGGGCACGGCCATCATCCAGCTGGAAGAGCGAGGTGACTGGCTGTGCTGGTGTCCGCCGGCGTGCAGGGCAGCCAGGGCCTGACGCTGGGCTTGGAGCTGGAGCACTTTTGGTGCTATGCTGGGTAGATCCACTCACTCGGTGGACCATGGCTTGGGCCTCTGTGTGTGCCAGGCGCCCTTGACCCATCCCTGCATCTAAGAAACATTTAGTTTGGTGGTGGAACTTGGAGCAGATGAGTTCAGAGGGAGAAAAATCAAGTGATCCATGAAAAAGAGTGCCCTTGCCTCTCTTCCTGGGCCCGTTGAGGATCGCCTGAGCGCGTTTATACAAGAGTGCCTGGCACACAAGAGGCGTTCGGTAGACCTGCCTGCCTCTCCAGGAATTCTTAGTCTACGGGGATGAAAGGTTGCGTTGCTTAAGGTGTGGGTAGACCCAAGAAGGGGGATTTATAACCTTGGCTTTTGGGAACTCTCAGGTCTGGCAAGGAAAGGACAGCTTGGGTTGGTTGGTCTGCATTGTTTCTGGAGAGCCAGCCACTTGACATCAGGGAGATTGGTGGAAAACGGTTGGGGGGTCCCAGGAGCTTGGTCCTGGCTGAGGAAGCCTGTAGGGAAGACAGAGGACTGAGTGGAAGAGCAGCGTGGGCCTCTGTGAGGAAGGTCCCAGAGGGGCAGAGTTGGGAGCAGGCTCTGGGTTCAAGGAGGGCTGCTAGGAGCAGGCAGGCTGAAGGCAGGCATCCTGAGCCCTGGGTGGGCAGGGCTGTCAGGGTGCGCGCAGGGGGGCATGCTGCAGCAGGGGTCATTGCATGAGAAAGGGACCAAGCCTGGAGGTCAAGTTGCTGCCCCACCTGCAGAGCTGAGACCTAACCATGACGTCAGCGCTCACCAAGCTGGAGCCAACTTGAATCCAAACACAGTGTATCCCCAAAGCCACCTTGACCTCCATCTAGTGTTGCTCACAGACTCAGTAAGCCGCAGCCCTGCACACACTCCAGAGCTGCCACCAGGCTTCAGGCAACCCTCGGCCTCACCCCTCCTCCCCTCCTGCTTCCCTCCCTGACAGAGGTGCTCCCTGTGGGCATCATCGCCGGGGCCACCATCGGCGCGGGCATCCTGCTCATCTTCTTCTTCATCGCCTTGGCGTTCTTCCTCTACCGACGCCGCAAAGGCAGTAAGTGCAGGCTCCACCCACGGCCACAGCCCTCTCCTCCCCATTCCAGGGCATGGGGACAGGGAGAGGGAGGGCGTGACCACCAGGGAGAGGGGGGTTGGGATAGCTGGGCTCCCCTGCCCAGAGGCCAGCGGATAGCAGCCCCTACGTGTCCCAGGTCGCAAGGACGTGACCCTGAGGAAGCTGGACATCAAGGTGGAGACAGTGAACCGAGAGCCCCTCACGATGCATTCTGACCGCGAGGACGACACTGCCAGCGTCTCCACGGCCACCCGGGTCATGAAGGCCATCTACTCGGTGAGGGGCCCCTCCCCGTGCACCTGCCCTCTTCCGGCCCTTGGGAGCAGCTGCACCCTAACTCTCTAATGATCCTCCTGCCTGGATCTGTCACACACGCGTACCAGGGTCAGACTGATCCCCCTCCCCACGGTTCTCCACACATTCTCGTCACCCCATCTTTCATCATTTGCTGCCACAGTGTTGGGGGCTGTGACAGAAGTTCTGGATCTAGTGGCACCTGCATTGGGATGAGCCAAAACAAACCCAGAGGGGAGGAGGCCGACCAAGGTTGCTGTAGCCGCGGACTCAGCGCTAGCGCCAGCAACTCAGGCTCCTTCCGCCACATCCTCTGCTGAGGGGACTCGGAGCTCAAGGATGCCTTTGACCTCAAACCCCGGGCATGGGGCGGGGCTGGGGAGGGGGCCACCACCTCAGGGCCTGTGTCCTGACCCCACCCTCCGGCTCCTGTGCAGTCCTTTAAGGATGATGTGGATCTGAAGCAGGACCTGCGCTGTGACACCATCGACACCCGGGAGGAGTACGAGATGAAGGTGAGGAGAGGACGGGGGCCTGGGAGGGCATGAGGAGGCATGCATGGGGACTGAACAGAAACCTGGGGGGGAGCCAGAGGAGGCAGCCTAGACAGCCACGGGAACCCTACTCCCCACCCCCCACCTCCATCCTCTCCTCTTCCTGCCCGCCAGGACCCCACCAATGGCTACTACAACGTGCGTGCCCATGAAGACCGGCCATCCTCCAGGGCCGTGCTCTATGCTGACTACCGTGCCCCCGGCCCTGCCCGCTTTGACGGCCGTCCCTCATCCCGGCTCTCCCACTCCAGTGGCTATGCCCAACTCAACACCTATAGCCGGGCACCCGCCTCTGACTACGGCCCTGAGCCCACCCCCGCTGGCCCTGCCGCCCCAGCTGGCACCGACACAACCAGCCAGCTGTCCTATGAGAACTATGAGAAGTTCAACTCCCACCCTTTCCCTGGGGCAGCCGGGTACCCTACCTACCGGCTGGGCTACCCTCAGGCTCCCCCCTCTGGCTTGGAGCGGACCCCGTATGAGGCGTACGATCCCATTGGCAAGTACGCCACGGCCACTCGGTTCTCCTACACCTCCCAGCATTCGGACTACGGCCAGCGATTCCAGCAGCGCATGCAGACTCACGTGTAGGGACCCTGAGCCCGGCTGGGGCATCTCTGCGGGGCAGAGGAGGCCTTCACAGCTGTTCCCTGATATTCAGGGGCGTTGCTCGTCGCTCCCTGCTCGGACCAGCCTTCCTCCTCCCGCGTGGCAGGTGGGGAGCAGGTCTCCCGGCAACACCACATCCTGAGGATGGTGCTCCGTGCTCGCCCTGGCCTCCCAGGCCTGCTCTTCCCTCTTCTTGAGGAAGTGTCTCTTCTGACCTGTGCTCTGTCCAGGCTCCCGCTCGGCAACAGGGAAGGAGAAGGCTGGGGAGAGCTGAGGGGGCACTTTTTAGCATTCCTTTTCCGTCCTGCCCCTCTGGTCACCTGTGGGTGGAAAAAGGGGTACACAGCGGGGGAAGACAGAGTTTGGCAAAGAGGACGTGAAGGATGGGAGTGCTAGGGCACAGGCAGGTGGGAACTAGGATGCCCCTGCCAGTCCCTCTGTTGTTTGCATTCAAGCCCAGAGTGCATCTCTTCCCACCTTAGGGGACTGCAAAAGGGAACCTCGGATTCACTTAGCTCCTGTTGCTAAAACAGCCCTGAGTTCAAGTCTAGCCTTCGTGTAGCTGAGGCCAAAATGCCAGGTGCCCTGGCCTCCTGTGGGGAACACCTCCGTCAGCGAGCAGAGGGCTCCAGGAGTCCCTGGCAACCCTGCTCCCTTTCCTGTTCTACCCTGGGGCTAGCAGGATGAGTCTGTCTTCACGGAAAGAAAGGGCAGGACCAGCTCCTGAGCTGTGACCAGCCAGCGGGGGGGACTGCTGTGGCTTGCAGAGCTGTCTCCAGCAGCGACACTAGGGGAGCCCCCTCCCACCCCTTTTCTCTCCTCAGGCAACCCCACTTCCTGGCTTTTAACTCTTGAGCCTGCCTGGGATCTGGTGGGGTGGGGTGCTACATTATAGGATGTTTTTCAAAGATAACCTCATTTGGAAAAATGAACAATGAAAACCTCATTTGGAAAACGGACAAAAAAAACTGTAGGGATCTCCCCCCTCCCAAATACAAAGTCCCAGTGGCACGGAAAGGGGGCACCTGTACTCCGCCAGGTTCCTAACTTCCTCCATTACTCTTTGCGTCTCAAGCACTTTGACCCATTTTTTACACATTCAGGTGGTGAGGCCTGTCGCAGAGGCGAGCGCTGTTTGGGTGAAGGACCCCTGCTCTCTGCCTCTGCCAACCTCCCCAGGACCCTACTAGCTGGTCAGGATACGGGAGGTGTTGAGGCAGGCTTCAGTTTGAGTGTCTGTGTTTTATGTTGTTGTTTTTGGACCAATCAGATTCCTTCTTCCACTGTCAGTGCCTTGAGTGTCCAGCTATGGATGACCAGCCCTGCAGGGGGCAGGTGTGTGGGGAGTGGGTATTTGTGAACCAGAGATGTGCTGTCAAAGTGTTCATAGTAATAGGGCAGGGGAGAGCTGAGTGGGGCATTTGCAGAGGAAGCTGGCCAGGAAGTGGCCCTGCTGGAGGAGACCCTGTGCTGTCCTGGGGCATGCTCCAGAAGGGCACCTAGGCACCCACAGCCTGGCCTGGCTGTTGCTTTTTCCATGTGCACACCCACACACATTCCACATGACCAAAGAGAACAGGCACTTCCAAAAGAACTTGTCCCCTGCCCTGGTCTCCCTCCCCAAGAAGCAGCGAGGCGGCTCCTGAAGTCTCTTGGCCTCCCCAGCTGTGCCCAGTGGGAGGGGAGACGCCTGCGGTGCAATTCCCAGAATGCTCCTTGCCCTTTCTCGGTGGTCGCCATTCATTAGTCATGTTCACTTTAATGAGTTACATGCTCATCAGCCACGGGCCATCAGCACCCTTATGGATGGGCCTGTGGGGTGACATTCCCGGTCTTGCTGGTAGTGCCCAGGGAGCCAGCAGCTCCGCCTCCCGTCCCACCGCAACCCCTTGGGCACATTTCGGGCTCCCAGCCGTCTGCCATCCCCAGCAGCCTACACTTTCCCGCAGAGTCCTTTCACAGGACCGCCCTGGGCAGGTGTGCTAAGAAAGCAGGTCCCTGTGCCGACAAATTAATGCAAATTGCGATGATTCTCACAGAAACCAGAAGTCACGGGTAATCCCAATGCAAGCTAAAGATGATAGCGTTTTTTTAAACATGAATATTCCTCAAAGGAAAAAAAAAAGCTTTTTTGGGAGTTTGGCCAGATTCTCTGATTCATACCCTACCCTTTTTGTTGTGAAGTAGCAGGTCCCTTCTGTTGATGGAAAGGCACCTCAGCTGATGGAGAAAGTTGTTAAGGCAGGCAGCTCCTTGGCTGGTCAACCTCTCGGGTGTCAAGTAAGAATGGAGCGAGGGCCAGGGGAACATCTGCAGCCAGGTAAGGCTCTGCCACCTGCCACTGATGCTGCGTCAGAATCTGAAGGGGGACCTGTACCCAGGCCAAATAGGGCAGCTTCCATGGCACATGGGAGGCACTGCCATCAGGGTGTCCCATCATCTGTGGCTGGAGCCCTGAAGGCCCATTCAGATCATCATAGGTCCGGGATGGCCCCGGCCACCGTTGACTTTCTTGCTTCTGTGGGACGAGCCAGGTCGTACAAGTCAAGAACCCAGGTCAGAAACTGCCATTTCTTGGGTGACTTGGCTTAACCTCTTTAGATCTATGGCACACACTCTACCCCCCACCAGTTTCTGGCCTGTGAAGTGACAGGGAAGGCTTCTGTTCTTGCTGTATTCGTTTGGTGGGGCAGGGGCAGCAAGTTGCCCAACCCTGGCAGAGAGCTGGGAAGAGTGCGGGTAAGGTGAGAGCTGGGAGCCAAGAGGGCCTCTCCTGTTGGAAGAAGCCATAGACTTGGGCTTCATTTTGTTGGAAGTGCTGTGAGTTAGTTGCCATCAGGAAATCCCTTTATCCCAAACTGCAACAGATTCACATCCTTGACCTCAGAATAAGATTGATGTGGGGTCAGGCTTTGGCCATTCTCTTATCCGGTATGGTTTCTCTTCAGTTCTGGCAGGTTGGCATAGGGACCAGGGCAAGGTGTGGTGAGTGTTTAGGTTTCAGACAATTACTGTGGGGAAGATAGGGGCAGCTGTCCCCCATCCTAATCTTCAGAAACATGGTCCCCATGACTCAGCGCCGTGAAAAACCTTTGGTTCAAGATGTCTGTGAGCCAGAGGTCCTGGAAAGATTGCAGCTGACCCTTCCATGAAGGGGAGCCCTGAATCAACCCCCCGGTGCAGAGCCATGATGGGCCGTTTGGCTTGAAAGCCCCACACGAAGGAGTGAACAGGCTCAGTATCTCCTGTGCTCTTTGCCCCCACACCTGAACACCAGGGCTGCCCTGGCTTTCCTGCAGTTGGATCTGAACAGCATCGCTGCTCTGCATTTGGCCTGAGGAAGTCATCCCTGAAAGGCCCAGGGAAGCCTCCAGTTGGAGGTGGCCTCAGAACCCAAGCGCATAGGCTAAGGGATTCCGTCGACAAAGCAGCTTTAACAAGAGGCTATTCAGTTAGCATTTTGATATCTCCTTTTGCCTGCCCCGGTCCCCTTCTTGCTGTTTGTCTACATAGGTGCTAGGCATCAACTTGGTCCTCCCAGCTGGTGGGGAGGATCCCATTTTCTTGCATCACTGTGAGGGAGCTCCAGGCTCTGTACCTGGAGAGAATCATTGCGGCATGGAAGTCACAGGCCATACCGGGTGGGCAGTCCTGGCACTAGCCTGCCCTTGAAAATAATAACAGTTACAATAATAATAACTTCATTTGCATTGAACTGTCACTCATTCCTACCAGCTGTCCCCTATCCTCCTTCCTCTCCTACAGTCCCCAAACACTGGCTTCTGCAAGTGTCCATGGTCCTCAAGCTCTTTCAGAGGCTGCCCCTAAGATTCCCCTCACTCGGGTGAGAGCAGCCAAGTCGCCAACACGGCCCATCTCGGCAGTTGTCACTTGGCCTCCAGCATCCCCAGGGAGGCCCAGAGCCCCCTGTGGTGGCCCTCGGAGTGGGGGAGTGGGGGAGAGGGGGAGGCCGAGCCATTCTTGGGATTGTAACCTTTTCTGGCTCCAGTTGAATTTTCTCCCTCCAAACCCCAAGAATAGATGAATCCATGATGATAAGAGGAGAGAAGAAAAATATTATTTTTGTTAGGACAAACCATCGTAGATTTTTTAGAAATGTGTATCTGTGTGTCCCTCACACCTTTTCCTATTCTGCCTTTTTTTTCCTTTTTTTTAAATATTATGTACTATATTTTTAGTCTCAAACACACTATATATTATATATATTTAATTTTTATATATATATAAATACAAATGTTTTAAAAAGTGTCATGTTTTGTGTTATCTAATGCATGCGTAGCTTAGAAGCCTGCTTGGTCTTGAGTGTAATAGTTGCATTTGGGGGAGAGATTGTGGAGACTGTATCTGTGTCACCTTCAGGCTGTGGAATGAACACTGTTTTATTCACCAGTTTGTAACTTGCGGAACCCTGAGGCCATCTGTGGCAGTACAAGGACACATTGCTAGAAAATTCACATTTTTGGAATATAGCATCCGCACGTGTGCCAAATCTGATCATGGGCAGGAGAGACTCTGAATCTGGGATTGAGATCCCAAAGGAATTGGGAGTGAGTATCCAGCCATTTGGTTGGAGTTGAAAGCACAGTTTCCAGAGCTGCACGCTTTTGAACTTGGAGGAAAGAGCAGGTGCTGCAGCAGTGTCTACACAGAGACCATCCTGCCGAGACTCAGCTGCTCTCAGTTGGGTGGTCCTGGCAGGAATTTCACTCTACTCATTTTCCTGGAGTGTTTAGGACACCTGAAGTTGTTTTCTGATCACGTTTTGGAAGTACATCATTAGAGAAATACAAGGGTTTATTGTTTTCATCCAGTTAGTAACCAAACAAACTCATAGTAGCCTTTTTGTGCACAAGGGGCACAGAACACCATCAAGGCAGAGATCGGATGTAAAAGCTTTAAAAAAAAAGATAATGTAATCCATTTACTTTCTGGGGCCCACTGAGGAAGAAGATGGAGTGCATTAGGGGCCTGGTTTGGAACGGTGTAGGTAGGACCAAGGACTTGTAGGGGAGCAGAGGTGAAGGCAATGTGGATGGAAATGAGGCCTGGGTACAGGGTGAATCCAAAGGCTGCAACTGGGTAGGCTGTGCTAACACAAGTGAAAGAAATGACATGAACAGTCAGGAGTCAAACAAAAGGACAGAAGAGCAGGGGTTGGTACAGGCAAAGCTGTGCACACCTAGAGGCCAGAGGGAATTGTGGGAGCAGTTGGGTATGGATTCCCTTGGGATACATTTCATTCATCTGCATCCCCAGGGAGCCAGCAGGTACTGTGAGACAAGCTGGTGCATGGGGTACCACCTCAGGCTCCAGATGCCTCAGGTGCCTCAGGCACAGGAGCCTTTTCCTGTGTTAGGAGCCCCAGCCCTTTTTTTTTTTTTTTTTTTTTTTTCCTGTTACAAACAGAAAAGTTTATTTGCAAAGGGACCAGGGAGCAGGGAAGGGAAGGAAAGGGAAGCACCTCCGGAAGAGAAGCCGGGAGGTGGGGTGCTCTCAAAAGAGGAGGGAGAGAGAGACACCAAAGGGTTGAGGAAGGGTCTAGGGGTTTTAAGCCTTCCTTGACCCCTCCTTGTTGGGCGGGGAACCTATAGGTGAGATGTTCCCCATTGGTGATCTCTTGATTAATTAGGAAATGGGTGGACAATGCTGCTACCGCCCACCTGAAGGTGTGGCCAAGACCTCAGAGGACCTGGATGGTCTCAATCCCCCCTCTTGAAATCCCACATCCTACTTCTGTAGGGGAAAAGGGGCGACGATGTCTTCTGGCTGCTTCCTGCTGAATTGGGACGACGTTTGGGTAAGGGGCCCCCGAAGGTGTGGGATCCAGAGAGATGGTCCAGGTCATCCAAGTTGCCATGGCAGAAGTTGGTCTGGTTGTCACACAAGTTTGCATGTACAAGGCCACCTTGAGTCTGAAGACCCCTTGTGAAGTCTTCTCTCAGTTGAGCTGGGCCACGTGGCTCCCGTCTAGTTTCTTTTTTCGAGCCCCACGTTGGGCGCCAGGGAAAATATGTTACCAGAAATGCCCGGTGGGTTCTTTCCTCAGCTTAGTATAGAAATAAAAAGCCGGGAATCTGTTACAAACAGAAAAGTTTATTTGCAAAGGGACCAGGGAGCAGGGAAGGGAAGGAAGGGGAAGCACCTCCGGAAAAGAAGCCGGGAGGTGGGGTGCTCTCAAAAGAGGAGGGAGAGAGAGACACCACGCCCCAGCCCTTTTAAGTCACCTCTAGCTAGAGCACGAGTCACAGGGACACAGCTTTTTGGTGGTCAGTCTTTGAGGACATCTGAAGAGCCACTCCCCTCCTGTGAGATCCTCTGTCATCACAGGAGCTGCTAGGCTGGGGCAGGCAGGTTTCTAGGCTCCTATCCTCACACAG